TTTAGGGCCTGCTGTCTGTCATGTGATGCTATACTAGAATCAGGTTGGAATTTGGCATTTTATTGTCACAGAGTCTATTTTGTCAATCTTGTGATCTCTATTTTTTTTTGAGTTGGAGTCTCACTCTGTCACCCAGACTGGAGTGCAGTGGCTGCTCCCGGTCACCACAGCCTCGACCTGCTGGGCTCCGGCGATCCTTCCGCCTCAGCCTTCCATGTAGCTGGAACTACAGGCGCGCGCTACCACGCCTGGCTAATTTTTGGTTTATTGTAGAGATGAGGTCTCGCTAAGTTGCCCAGGCGGGTCTCGAACCCGCGGGCTCAGGCAATCCACTCATCTCAGCCTCCCAAAGGCGCAGGATTACAGGTTGAGCCACCTAGCCCGGCTTGTGATGTTTATTTTAATGCTAATGCTGGTCAGTATTGCCTAAACTGCAAAAAGGAGAGGACATAGAGACATATTCAAGCTCTTTTCCTGTAATAACCTGGAATTTAGTTTCTGTAATAACCTGGAATTTAATTTTTCAGGTTTCCCTTGATCTAGAGGGGGTCCATTCAATCTGTTGGGGGGATTTAGGTTTTTATTTTTGGTCTACACTTGACTTTATAGAAATGAAAGGGATCCTATTATACAGCATGATGGCCATAGATAATAACAATGTATTGTATACTTGAAAATTGCTAAGAGAGTGTATCTTAAATGTTCTCATCCCACTCACACATAAAACAGATAACTGTGTGAGGTGATGGATACTTTAATTAGATTGATTGTGGTAATCATTTTACAATGTAGTTTACCAAAATATCATGATGGGCTGGGAATGGTGGCTCATTCCTATAATCCCAGCACTTTTGGAGGCTGAGGCAGGAAGATCACTTGAAGCCAGGAGTTTGAGATCAGCCTGGGCAATGTAATGGGACCCCATGTCTATAAAAAAAAAAAATTAGCCAGACATGGTGGCATGTGCCTGTAGTCCTAGCTACTCAGGAGGTTGAGGCAGGAGGATCACTTGAGCCCAAAGTTTGAGGTTGCACTGAGTTATGAATTGTACCACCACACTCCAGCCTGGATGACAGGGTGAGATCCTCTTAGAAAAAAAAAAAAGAAAAGAAAATTTGAAGAGAAAAAAAGGATTCCTGCTTAAATAGCTCATTTATCAAAGGCTATCAGCCCATGGGAAAATATAATACATAAGACCCTTATTTGGGAACATTTAGGTTGTTTTTGAGAGTGCAATTTCAAAACGTTCAATTTATCTAAACGTTATTTGATTAGCATCGGTAACTTCAAGCAAATATACAATCACCAATAAATATGTTTCCATCTAAGTTAAGACATAGAAAGATAGCTGGGTTCGGTGGCTCAGCCTGTAATCCCGCGCTTTAGGAGGCTGAGGTGAGTGGATTGCCTGAGCCCACTTGTTCGAGATCCACCTGGGTAACTTGGTGAGACCTCATGTCTATAATAAATCAAAAAAAATCAGCCGGGCATGGTAGCGCACGCCTGTAATTCTGGCTACTTGGAAGGCTGAGGCGGAAGGATCGCCAGATCCCAGCAGGTCGAGGCTGCAGTGGTCGAGAGCGGCCACTGCACTCCAGTCTGGGTGACTGAGTGAGACTCCAACTCAAAAAATAAAAAAAAGTTCCTCTCGGTTTCCAGTGACTCAGAGGCTGAGGCAGGAGGATTGCTTGAGGCCAGAAGTTCTAGACCAACCTGGGCAACACAATGAGACTCCGGCTTTACGAAAATTAAAATAAAATAATTTGCTGGGTATAGTGGCACATGCCTGTAGTCCTAGTTACTCTAGAGGCTGAGGTGGGAGGTTCGTCTGAACCCAGGAGCCGAAGATTACAGTGAATCATTATTATGCCACTGCACTCCAAACTGAGCAACAGAGTGAGAGCCTGACTCTTTTTTTTTTTTGAGTTGGAGTCTCACTCTGTCGCCCAGACTGGAGTGCA